AATTGGAGCCGGACCCCCCGGAGACTCCGTCACCAACTTCCCACCGGTGGCGCAACACGCACCAACCTCCTTCCACCTCCAACTGGCGCCTGCGTGGAGCGCGGACCGGTGCTCGCTTCACCGATCGCGTCCCATGGATGGATCGGCGATCGCCCACAGCGATGATCCCGAATGTCCGTCGATGGAGATCCCCCTGGTGGCTTGGATGGATGGCGGATGGGCCGAGGACGAGGGGCGAGGATTGGACGGGTGGAATCGGTGTTCTTCGCTTCAGGGGATCGCAACATGATCATCCTTTGCTGGGATGGTTGGTGGGACCTTCGACCTTCCCGGATGGGTGCGCTCCGAAAGATTTGGACGAGGACTCCTGAAAAGGATCCCCCTTGGGTGCGCTCCGAGCGCTGCACGGATCCATAGGGTTTAGCGCTACCCTTTTTGGGGCTCCACCTGTTCAAACACAAGATTTGTTGATCATTTTGGAATGTTCTTGATGGTTATATATATAGAAAGCTGATAGAGGCTTCGATAAAGGTACATGGTTGACAAATAGTCCAGTTGTTTTCAAGATGCTTTTTGACAATTCAACTTTCTGACAGTGCCACTCAGATCAGACCTGAAGTGAATTTGACCCACACGGGCCGCAGTCAGTACCAGTACCTTCTTAACAGGCAGAAACTATGACGCTTTTGGATAGAATTCAGGAGCTGCAGGCTGCTACAATATGATCGTATATGATATATGTTATATAATTGCGATTATAATTGATTCTGATATATTTCAATGTGGCTGTGGCTCTCAGTAGATTCTAGAAAATGTATCTCCTCAAGTTCTTGTAGAAATCTATTCAGATATTACGATGTGTCCTCTTCAATTCATGCTGCCTCTTCTGGTTCCTGGACGTCCAGAGCCATGGGCCATCCCTGTCTTCACCGTGTCCAAACACCCTCCAAGTCCCCCAACCCGCGAACTCCCAACCGGGCTCGCAACGTGGGCCGCCCACAGCAGCCCTCCCGCTGAATTCCGCCTATCTGTCTCAGGACCCCGAGCTGGTCCGGGGAGTGCCGTTGCACCACTGCCTGCGCGGCTTGGGCCACCACTGGCGCCGCCAGTCCGCAGGAGCGGACTTGGACTTGAGCGCCTTGGAGGTTCAGTTCAGGCTGCAGTAGCGCGGACTGCGTGGTGCGCGGTGCTGGTTCACTGTTCGTATCCTTGTTTTGGTTCGTGGAAATGAAGATCGTTTTGAGAGCTGGCAAGGCCGACGAGAAGGCCTCGGCAAATTGGACAGATTTCTCACCCAAAAGACGTTCGAGTGCGTCGGATGAGGATCACGTCTCCCTGTGTGAGACTCACCGCTAGTAGCCTTGCGAGCCTTCCTTGCGCGTGTTGAGAAGGGGTGCAAAACAGGTCATGCTCAGTCATGTTCCAAAATAATATGTCAAACTACTTGACAAGGTGATTTCTTGGAGACAGCACCTATCTTTGGAGCCTAGGTGGAGCAGAATGCGAACAAGTGAATGTTGGAGGGTCCAAGAGTATCGCCGCAAAGATTGCTGACAAAAGTAGCAGGAGAACTGGAAAGAGAGCCCATCTACGGTGGTCAAACAGGGAGCACTGTGAGTTTGATGCTTTTAGGCCTAGGTGCTCGTCTTGAGTAGGAAGCCCTTTCTGGGACAGAGCTCCCAATTATGGCCGATAGGTGGTTCTGGCATGTTCTGGCAGCAGGGTCGAGCTAGAGGGTTAGCTTTGCAGCAAAGCATTGGTCACTATATTCTATGCCTTGGTCTACTCATTCCAGAAAGGACCAGAGTCAACTGGTTGTCTTCATGTCCTCGCCAAGCACCAAGTATTGAGCCACACCTATCACCTCTTCTTTTCACAGCTCCTTCGGGGGAATGCGTCTCGAATGATCATGGCTATTTAGTTCAGATACTGCGAGACCAGTATACAATGGATCACGTAACCAGCAATGGATACAGTGCCCATTTCCCATGTTTCTCTGTGTGAGAGAGGATCACCAAGCAGAAACGCTTGATTCAATTCCGTTTGCTTGATTCAACTCCAGCTCCAAAGAGCTCGGGTGCTCTTCAGACACCCTACTGAAGGACCAATGGGACCAACCCTTGCGAGGGCCCTGACGAGTTCGGGGAGCCCTCCGGACCATCGACCTGGTCGCCGTCGCTCGGTCGACCGTCGAAGTCCTACCGTCGCCGTCGTCGCCATCGTCGGAATCCGATCCGCCCGCGGTTTTCGAACAGAAGAACCGCAGGAGCGCGGAGCGCCTTTTTGTAGGGGGAAAAGGGATCACCTCTTCGGGTAACAACGCCTTGGGCTGGTTGAGGACCGAACATGACTGAACGACATTGGCATGGTGGTTTAGGTCGGCCACCCCACCCTGGTTGGTCCGGACAGAGACAACTGGTGGGCGGACTTTTAATTTCCAAGAGGGACCTCGGTGGCGAGAGATGGACAGTCCATCACTTCTCAAATCTCTTCAAGACAAGTTGTCTTCTTCCAAGGTTTCATGTGAGCACCGCAAGAAAACTCCAAAGATGAACTAAGTACCACCATCCAAGAGGATCCAAGAGGTGCCTATAAATAGCCTCTTAGAGGTAAAGGGGGTGTCTAAAAACCACCTGTTGGAACGTGTCATAAGTATTTTGCACAGAACTTAAGATGGTCTTTTTGCGGTTCCGCTTGGTCCTCTTCGTGGCACAAAGCATCGAGCACATGGACGTCCCATGGGCTGACAGGCCAGAAAACCGAGCACATCGACTACTTCTTGAGCCGCCTGGCACAGCTGACTTTGCGGAACCCCCTAACATGAGATGTAGGAGGGTGGGGGAAGCAGCAACATGAAGAGCTACGTCAACTGCGTTTGAGCATGATTTTTGAGAGTTGAAAGATTGGGCTTTGACCCTGTGAACAAAGTCTCCTGTTTCTTAGTGGTGCAGACTAATCCATGAACATGCTCAAGAGTTTCAAGATCAGGACACCGGTTGCGTGAGATGCAATTCAACATTATTTAAAGTATACTGTGTATACATGTCTATACTGTGTTCCCATGGATTTGGACTGCGCTGAGTAACTTGCTAATGTGTTTGGATGCGGGTGTGAAAGATCCCTTATACTTCATCACCTTGGGTTTTGATGAAGAAGCTGCCCAACCCCCAAACCCCCATGATAGTCTCACAATGTCTCACGATATATATCTTACTTAACAGGACCAACGTCATCGGAGGTCATGACCTTGTTGACCCACTTGATCGGAAAGGAGTTGGGACGTCGCATGGTCGCATTGGTGTCGTCGGCTCCCCCCTTCGACATTACTCCATGTCTTGCTTCACTTCCTTCACCCAGGCATCCAGGCAGTTCCCACGATGTCGCTGGGAGTCCCAGTGGTTCCGACTAAAACCACGACCGAACGAATCCCGGAATCCCATGGTTCCTTAAGACTATCGTGGTAACTGCCTGGGATGCACTGGGACCATTAAAGAACCACCGGACCCACCGGAACAACCCACCCGCGCGCATTGCCCCACCGCGTGAGGCCACGATTGGGAGACCTCACGCTTGCTGAAGTGGCTTGCTGAAGTGGTCCGAATTCGGACGCTGAAGTGGTCGGTTCATCCGGTTCAAAGGTTCGCGCAAAAGGGGCCCCCTGGATCCGATTGGGCGCTTTGGTTGGCCGTCCTTGATGTGCCGAACACTCAGAGATGGATCCGATTGGATATCGTATTTGCTGTCCTTATTTGCTCTGCAAACCAGGACAGCTGCAGCGAGTTGAGAATTCGGAAGCTTCCACTCTGCAGCTTTCTCGAATCTTCCACTTCCTTTGTCAAGATGTCGAAGAGGCATGGTGAAAACAAGGTCTAGATTGAACACTTTGATGCATGACTCTGCGCATATTTCCTTGAAGCTCACACAGCAAGCACATGCAAAAAAATAAATCACAAACATATTTCCATAAATTTCTGGACTCATATCAAAACTTGCAAATAAACACATTTGGGGGTGCCCCCGTCGCTGGATGTCCTAGAGCTAGATGAGCTGTGAGTGAAAAACTTAACGTGAGTTTATTAGGTATAGACCCGTTTGACCGTCTTCAGGTGGCTGTGCACCAGCCGCATGCACCTGTGTTTCCATCGCGGACGGTCGACGTTCGACATGAGAGCGCAAGGGTCGGGCACCAACAAAGGCTCCCCACGAAGCAAGGGGACATTACATCATATCATATCATTTGCGTCCATTCTAACAAAGGATACAACTAGATTGCACTGATTTGCATGTGTTTTTCCATGCCACCATCAGGCGGAGGTGGAAAGCACATCGGGGACGGCATACTGATGTTTCACGAGCAGGTCCTATCGCGACATTCCTATGAACACCCATATATGAGCACCCCCGTTTCTGTCCTATTTCTTTGACACCCGCCACCCGAACAACGAGCCCTTTTCTCGTTGCGCCGGTGCCGACGTTCCGAGCTCCTCCGCTCCTCCGTTTGGTGCTGAGCTCACCCCTGTGCCTGGCACCGCGCGTGCCCGATCGAGGTGGATGACCTTGCTTGTGATGTTCAACGCTCCGGCCGCAGCAGTTGTGACCCTGATCGCCCCTGGTCGAAGCAGTCACGCCGCCGCTGCTGTCCCGTTCGGAGGGCTGGGTGATGCCTAAGTTGGCGTGCAGACGTAGCTTGAGCTCCTAAGGTCACTGGTGTGATGATTCCCTTTAGTGTCTTTGGCTTCATCCCCTGCCACGTGGCCAGAAAACCGCAGTGGCGGTGGGAAGGTGGGTCTACTGAGACGTAGACGCCGATGGTGCTGCGCGCGGCGGCTGCGCGGCGGAGACGCAACGGATCCAGATGGATCTGACACGAGATGCTTACGTAAATGTTTTAAGGCACCAGTGGAAACCCGAGTTCTATATAGCTAAGCACCTGTTTAGCTGATTTTAGCTGAGGACTAGAAAAGGGCGAATGATGTGATGTGAAATATAGCAGAACCATCTATGAGTAAGTGGGTGCAGAACTTGTTTTTAGAGTTGCCATCCTTTCAATGATCGACATTCTGGCTGAAGCTGGTGGCGAGGTGTCATCGGTCAGAGTTTCCTTCTGTTTCCTTCAAAGGGGGTCTTCCACGGATGGTAACCAATGAGCAACATCCGGAAAGGCCTTTCTGTGATCTCACTAAACCCGTTCAAGCGGTATCGGCAAGCCCAATGAGTGTTTCCAGCGCGATCTGACTGGCCGCATAGAAAGGCCACCGTTGGAAGTCTAAGGATCACACCAGCATCCAGCCGATGGCTGTTTGGCCAGATCCAGAAAGCAAGAGGTGAGAGTCTATTGCTCTTGCCGATCAAACTTGACAACCATTATTCTTTCATATTCTTTCAGATGGTCACGGTTTGGACTTCTTTAAGTCCTTGAATAGCTTGTCAATGCTAACTAACAACACCATCCAGACCCTTTCCACATCTTTCCATGATGAAAACCCAAACTTTCTGAAACTGCCATGCACTTCTGAAAACCATGGCTTACTTCCATCTGTGGTATTATACCAACTCACCACATCTAACAACATCTAACCACTCCATTCATCACACTAAAAACCACACTGATCGCGCCTTCTGGGCCAAGACCAGCTGGTCCTTTGGCAGCCTCTCGTGGGCCATCTCAGCTACCTCATCATGCTCCTCATTTGGTGCCTTGGAGCGAGGAAAAGCGATCGAAGAGGTCGAGGTTCGAGGTTCGCCTGGCTCGAGGTTCGAGGTTCGCACGGCGGGTGGAGACAGGTGGAGACGGGAAAGCGACATAATATATACGAGTACTCGATGGGTAGTATAGCTGTGAGCAGGAACTTTCATTTTTGCAGTTTGGAATTGTGTTGTCATGCGAGCTGCGAGTTGAGTGGGCAAACTACGACATGATCTTTGGATCCGCTTGGGGTTGTACTGTTCAGGGTAACAAGACGTTCTCCCTGCTTTGACGGACCGACGTTGTTTTGACGGTGTTGACCGGTTCCTTGATGAGCAGGGGTTGGAGACAGGGTGGCATTTCGCAAGAGGTCTCATGGAGAGAGTGGGTGGCCTCAAGGAGGATTTTGTTGCTCACTCCATGTGCTTAGTGCTCTGTCGTCCTCAGCTCTTTGAGTATCTTTGGGTGTTGGGAACACCATAGACTGTAGTAGGGTACCAGCATGTGAATCCACGCTATGTATGCTTCCCGCAAGGAGTGACTCTTTTTCAGTAGCTTATATAGGTGATACCCCCCCAAAGCCATCAAACCTTTTTGGTAGGAGCCGTGTCCTAAGTTCCTTCACTTTCTCACCCATTGTCCTAAGTTGCCCTAAGAGCGTTTGCAGGCAAGATTTGCGACGTCTTTGTCGGAAGCCTCTTCTAGTCTTCTTGGACAAGCTGTGTATCGCACAGCGTGAGACTTGGCAGCGGAGATCTCACCAGCTGGGTCTCTAACGAGTAACGGATTTTTATATGATATCTTTTTAGAGGTCGGGGGAAGGGGCAGGTACCAAAAAGGACGTGATTCACAATAAAGGCACAACAAAGAAGTTGATTCACATGTTTAAACACAGTACCCCTGAAGTCCCCCTCAGATGAAGTCTTTTATAAACTTTAGTCCCCTCATCCTCTAGTCCCGTGGCCGGAATGAACAGATTCATCATGTGCCCCCCAATTGATGCTCCCTTTGTCTCGCTGGTGTTCGTTGGGCCGTCCAAGCAACTTTCTTTAGAATATTGTTTATCATCTCATACACACTCATCCCACGAATTCCCTCGCTCTGTTTTACTTTTTCTCGCCGCGCTTGCGTAAACACAGCTGCTCAAACAACAGCAAGAACAAGTATTTGATGTTAATCAATTCATTTTGATCATGGACACGTAATGATCCTTGGACACAGAATGAAAGTTAATGCTTGACCCGGCTGGAAGCATGTTCTTTCAGAATGAGTTTGCTCTTGATATCTCATCCATTTATTGACTATTCAGTGAATGTCTGAGGCTGGTCCAGATTTGGAAATTGGGATTTTGTTGTTTGTTTGGCAAACACACGGACACATACAACAACGCGGGTCAACACGTGCCAAAGTTCTAGACAATGGAGCGGGGCTGTTCATCTTGTCATAGAAGCTTTGATATGTTGTGCCTGGTTCCCCAAAGCTCCAAAACACTTAACCAGTGGACGTGCCCCCCCATGCCAAAGACTTTATTTTCCAGAATACTAGTTGGAAAACTCATGAAAACCTTTCTTCGTCCAGGATTCCCTCCAAGGCTTCCCTACCTACTCGAGCTACCCGGCCCCAAGATGCTGCTCTTCTCTCGGAAATTCCAATCCAGGACCTCTATCTCAAGGAGCGAGGCATCCGTGGCCTCGGCAGCTTCTTGAAGTGCTCACGGTCCTTGACGATCTTATGGTCCCCCAGGCGAGGGGTTCAGCCGTTCATGTTCACCCGTGGCGCGTTTTGGGGGGGGATTTCTGCGAGGTGTCAATGGTGCAAATGGTGTGTGAAGCCCTTCGAAAGCAGGATCAGCCACACAAACCACACGCGGTGCTCTCCGAGGACGCGTCCGTACCTCGATTTCGGGTTCTCTAATATGTTGTCGCCTGTTGGGTCGTCAGTCATATAATTAGGAGGTTACTTTTTTTCAAGAATGGCGCCATAGCCAGACCCTTGGCTCGATCTTCTCAATGCCTTTGGGAGAACCGGATAACCAAGCTGCTCCCGGACGAGAAATGCACCCGTGATGGCAGTGGTTCGGCACCGATCAGATCCAGTGGACCATGATCCGATCCCCTTGTTTCCATAAGCCTTTCAAAAGCAGTTGGGTGGGTTTTCAAGGTCGAAGGGGAGGGGTGGGAGTCTCCACCTGGTTGGGGTGCTGATGTTTTTGTCCTCTCCCAACAAAAGCATGGTGATATTAGATATCATATCCCAAAAATAGAGGAAATCGGTTCATTTGATGCCATCGGCCTGCCATGACCCACACCCTCAGCCGGTCTCGGTTCGCCGGTCGAGTTCTTTGGCCAGGTACTTCTCCAGTCTTTGGTGCTGCTACTGGTCTTGTAAGGGGGGCATTCCTCCCAAGAACAAGCAGACGAGAAAGAATCAGCGTTCGCTGGTGAACAGAGGGATCCATCGAATGGTTGATGAGTCAGAGATTGGGAACACCAAGCCATATAGTTGTGGAAGAATGGCTGTTTGATGATGCAGCTGCCTTACAGTAGGTTGGAAAAGGACATTTGCACAGCATCAATCGCCCCATGGTTGGTATCAGAGACGCGCACTGGTTTCTCCGCACCATTCATTGGCAGGACTTCTTCGCTTCTCTCTTGAGGTCTAGGACCTTTTCTGAAAGGTTTGGGTTCTCATGAACAAATACATATCTATCTGGCGCTTGACAGAACTGACCAAACGAGACCGCATCCACTACTTCCAAGTCTGAAATCCCCTGGTAGGAAAAAGCACTACTATCTCGGGACTGAATGCAATTGTGAACCATAAGTTATAGTGAACATCCCAAACATGAATCAGCACAGTTTCTTTGCAAATGTTCACCTCCCATTTTAGTACAATTCTTGTACCTTGTAGGTCGACCGATCCACTTCTTGCGGCCAATTAAGGCTATGAGGTGGCCTCTTACCTGAAGGATGAGAGTCATGCTTCTGGCAAAGCGAAGCCTATCGAACTGCACCCGGCCTGTACTAGTCGACGCGTGCGAGAAGGTTTGACTGTCCAACTCGACCTACACATATATAGGAATATCCCTTGTTGGGGACCCCCCGGCGATCCTACAAAGTTGTAGTGTCTTACTCAGGACATGTCTTTGTCCCAGTTTTGGCCAACAACATCGAGTTCTGTTTTGCCGAAGCTAGACTGACTCGTGTTCATTAGGATCATTAGGGTCATCGCCCAGTCTTTGCAATGCAACACAAAGGTCCAGATCCCGTTGAACAGCCATTGCCTTACGGTCGAATGTAGAGAGAAGATGCCCTGTGGATTGGAAGGAACCGCAATTTCACATCATGTGAGCAGCTCATGTAGAGGGTATCATGTGATTCGTGATGGCGCTGAAAGCGCCAATCTTGGGACAACAGGATGTTTTTGCATGATTTAGCATGTTTGAGGCAAACTATAGCAGGTCCAGGTCCATACCATTCCATACCGCATATCATCACCAAAAAGGTTGCCCACCAGGTTATCGCTCGCGTCGCGTCTCGTCGCGATGGTCCATGTTCCTTAGAACATCAAGTGGAGCCTCCGGTCGGTCGATCGATGGTGCCGAATCTGAGGATTCCAGTCACCATGGCTGGGATGCTCCTGATTGCTTCACTCATGGCCGGGGTCGCCGAGACCACGGTCCGGTTGGGCTTCACTGGAAATGGGGGTTTTCTCCTGCGCAGGGCTGTGACCGACTTGGCTGACTTGGGGGACTTGTTACCTTTGTTTCTGGAGCCTTCATCACTTTAGAAGATTCTCACTGAGTTCACTCTTATACATAACAGTTCTCTCGTAAGAGGTCAAATGTAGTACAATGAACTGTTCCTTTGCGGACTTCCCAAAAACTGACCTAACCCATCCTAATCCATCCATAACCTTAGCCTGACCTACCTAACCTCTCGACTCTCGCCCTTGTGTGGGAAATTCTTTTTTCCCCAAGGCGTCCATGTGGCTCTTGGCGCTTTGCTGCCTCATGAGCTTCGGCTCGATCGCTTCGGAGCTCCTCCAGGAGAGAGATCCGAGGGGCCCACGGTTTGACACGGCGGGAGGCCAAACAGTTTGGGTGTGTATTCGAGACATCCAACCAAGGGGTAGACCTGTAGTGGTATTGGTCTATTTTTTCCGTCTATGTTCCTTCTTGCAACGACCTGGGACCATCTTGGTGGAATCATGCCTTGCGAACTGGGGGGAAATGGGACCCAATCATCGATATCTGCCCTTCACCGGCTGAAAAAGCGCTCAGAAGATCCAGGTGGCCTGGTCGCACTGATCTAAGCCCTGGCTGTACTCTTCTAGGCCCTACAGTCGGGCCACCTACAGTGCCCTACGGCTCACCAACAAAGGTAGTGAAGCTGGCACTCAACTGTTCAGGGAAAACATGCCCTGCATCTGGGAAACCATGCCATCCCATGTTAGGCGGACCAGATTGGTGCTGGAGTTCAAGACTCAACCAACCCTTTGCTTGGTTCTTCCGGTATCATCAAGTCTGCCACTGGCAGACCTGTAAACAGGCGAACGGCGAACTTGGAAGAAGTTCGGAGTGAATTTGATGCTTCCCCAACGCCTGTGACTTCTTTCACAGAGGATCGGGTCCTCTTTGAGCTCTTTGGCAAAGGCACGCCTGACAACCCGCACGCGTGCGCCGCGGGTCCGCGGGTGGGGAGCCAGGTCCTTGGTGCGCCACCAGATGCGCTCCGTGGTTCTTTGTGCTCCGTGATGTTTACAAGTTTGGGGGAGTTGACCCAGAAGTCTTAAGGCAACACAAGTCCGGAATCACGCACCACAACGCATTTGGGTGAAGCATTTGGCTTCGCATTTGCTTTCTGGGTTCATGTTGGCTCAGAAAGTTGCAGAATGTTTGGGCTCAGACCGTTGGGCCATGAGTTTGTTGGGCAGCGGACCTCCGCGGACGTGTACGTGAGAGAGAGGGGTCCAGGACCGACGGGGCGGCCTGAGGGCCGGACACCCTAAGGGCCTGGTGCTGGGTGTGGTTTACTCAATCAAGGATTGCAAGAGCAAGCAGTATTGGGTTGATTGCACAACATATTCCTCGTCCAGTCTGTCAGGCAACATCTTCGTGCCATTTGCGACATACTTGGCACTGGGTTACACAAGCCTATTTGAACTTCCAGAACATCTCAGTGAGTTTCGAGTGCCTTAACTGGACTTGCCCAATTACCGAATTGGTTGGATCGCGGGCAGGGTCCTTTTCATTCCTTTTCCCATACTGTTTGTATATAGTATGGTGTAGTGCATGGTGTATAATTCGTTATTGTGGTGAGGATATGTGAGAATCATTTTGCGTCAAACCTAAGCAGACTTGGAACATCCTGGAACCGATTGCAGCCACGGAGTGAACGTAGCTTCCAGAACCAAGGTGCAAGAGACCCGATGCTTTTGCTGCTCCAACCAGCATCGACACCCCTTCAGCGATGAAGAGCTCCCTTGCGACCGCGAGCTGGTCTTCGCCACGCTCCAGAAATGGTTTGGATCAGCACCCTTGGATTGATTAAAACTGCTGTTTGAGCATGTTTTCTGGAACCCTAAACCATGGAACTGGATGTCAAAACGGGTGGTTTGTGGGTGTCGGGGTATGGGTTGCAGAAAAGCCTGGCAATCAGAAAAACCAGTGACCGAAAACAGGAAGAAATGATCCCATGAGATGGAGACGAGGGGCACGAGATGAGATGAATAAGAGATGATAACATGTGCATCGCCGACAACATGTGCATCGCTGTGCATCAAACCAATGGACAGCCTCAGCTAGAGTGACCCTTAGATTGCAAAAACTTTAAAGTAATTTCTAAATGAGTCAGACAAGGCAACATGTGACATACGCTAATCGCCAAGTCATACAAGAGGAGAAGCAAGTATGTGGGATGACACTAGACTGTTGTTTGTGTGTGTGTGTGTGTTCAGTTGATCTTAGCGTTTGATTGGGCCATGGCGGTTGAGTTTGCCTCCTAGCCCTGAAGAAGACCCAGTTCAACTCCGTTCGTCGCTCCAAACAACCCAATGGGGTGAGGCCCTGCAAGCCCTTGGGGTGACCACCAGAACCAGGCACCCGAGGGTGAAGAGGACGAGGAGTACTTGGATCGATTCAACCTCTTGGTCCAAGAGAAGTTCCACTGCTGCAGAGATGGGGTGTGCGTCGAGGGGAACGCATGACTGCTGAGTTGATCCTCCACATTTGATTGAAGCCTTTTGCCCGTGAGTTGTGCGTGGCGCACCTGTGTGTACCAAAGTAGTTGACCATTCAGTAGTCGATCATTTTTTTTCCCCTCTCTCTATGCCACCATGTGTCACCCCACAACCTTGGCAGTTCCTTTTGAATCCAAGGTTGAGCAGTCGAATGTCCAGCACTGTGGGAAGGGGCCTGCCGCCTTTACGCCACGTCCTCTCCACGGTTTGCGTGGCTCCGGTCCCTTTCTATTCCGTCTTTGCGCCTTAGCTGCGACCGGTGGTCGCGGTGGTCGAACCGGGTCGAACCGGGTTCGAACCGGGTGGCGATGGTCCGGTTTGGAAGATCATGAGGATGTGGAATGATGTGGAGATATGTTTTTTCATGCAACTGATCTTCAAAGCTTAATGGTACAATATTGATCTATGCAATGTAAAACATAATATTATAACTATATATATATATACACATTGATCCCAAGAAGACAGAAGAATGTTCTTCACAGGTGACCCATGTCAGGAGGGTCTATCACAGGGTGGTGTCTACACATGTTTGCACTCATGTGGGATTGTGTGGGTCAACCCTGGTCAGCAGCGGTTTTCACACCCAACTGCCTTGCTCGGAACTGGTGGTCGATCGGTGCCTCCAATCCAATTCCAGCACCTCATCAAGCCAGCAGCTTGAGGAAGCAACTCCAGCCTCGCTCGCTTGAAGCGGTTCGCTCGTCTCTTACGAGGAACCCCACGCATGCCGCATGCTCTTGCTCGGGCGAATTCGTCGGTCTCGCCATGGGACGGAGCAAACATCGACGTCGCAGATGGATCCATCGATGGATGCGACGTCCCATGCGAGGTGACCATTTGGTTGTGGGAGCTGATGCATGGCGAAGAGGAAGAAGAAGAGATGGAGTCGTCCCTGCGTTGGACCGAGAACCTGCTGGAGCTTCTGGCGCGGTGGGTCCGTTTGGTGTCCGTGAGTCCGTTTTTTGGGACGCAGGTGGTGGTGGTGGTGGTGGTGGTCGACTTTCATACTTTAGCTCGCATGGCTGGTAGCTCAAGGTTTGATCCAGGCCAAGGCTTGTTTTGACCCAACGGAAGCTTTGTATGAAGTGGAATGGACCATAGTTCTCGGGAAAACTTGTTCAGTTCCGAACCTGAATCAGGAAATCCATCCGCTTTTCAAGCCAATCCTACCTCTATGGGCCCCCCCACATAATCTCCTCCACCTATTAAAACCTCCCCCCCCAATTAACAAAATCTCGGGTGCATTTTTTCAAAAATTAATGTTTCCCTGAAATCGGGGTTGTCCAAAATAGGGTCAGTGGGAGAATCCTTAAGTCAATCATTGATTACCCAAAAGTCACCTACTATTGAACTCGTATCAACAATTTATTGAAACAACCTCCAGATCGAAGGTCTTCCTTTTCCCCTTACAAAAACCTTTATTAACATAAGTATTCTTCAGTAGACTAGCAACTACAGCTTTCGAAAGGTGAGTCCGTGCCATTGGCGGAAGGAACACCTGCTAGTGTAAACGCGGCGTGTCATGGTGGATAGACAGGGTGGACAGAGGTGAGCAGTTAGGGTTGCTTTTGGAACCTAATTTAAACAAAGTCCACCAAAATCGTCCATGGCTCATGGCTCCCATATCCATGCTTGTCGGGTCTCCAGTCCACCGGTCGCCTGCAGGGGCCACCTTTGTATGGCATCTTAAGCCTCTTAGCGATGGTCCTGCTTTGCCGCCTCGTCTTCCTGGCGCGGAAGCGCTTGGGGCTTCCCAGTCGCATCAGGTGGCTCACACGAGACACTCGGAGGCAGAGTTGGTTGGTATCGAAATTTGTGGAACACATTTCTACCTACAAAGCAAAACACCCCATACACTCCATGTATGGACTATATGCCTACATTGACCCTCAAACCTCCCCAATGTAGGTAAATCTACCATACATGGTGTGTAGCAACACACTAACACAAGTTCTAGGCTCCTGGATGCACCACGTTTTGGACGATATACCACGTGTATATATATATATATATATGGTATCTTGCGTCCCTAGGTCGTTTTGGTGTCCTCCTGTTTTCGATTCTCGCCTGCTGCGTGACTTTGGGTGGGTTATATACGTACACACAGAGGTAGAACATGGTCTATGTCAGACAATGGGTCTGTTTGAATATGGTTCGTTTCAGCCCTCAAAATGTGCCATTTGGATTTTGATTTGCCTGTCATTGCGGAGTTTGGGTCACCGACTTGTTGAGATGGTGATTCCTGAGGTATCATTGGCTTCCCTCAATGTAAAGTCTTTAGTGGATCGGAGGGGAAGACGATTAGCTCAGTTAGTGACGTGGGCAAATCTCTGAACACCCAAAAGGTTGATCGCAACCTATAACCTATAGGAAGAACAGAAACGTGCTGAAGGACCCACGAAGAGATCAGGTACGAGCACTAGGTACGAGCACCAGGGTCTCATTGACTTGATTGGTCACTCTTAAATCCAAATTGCCATTCTACTCCCGAGTAGCACGTCAGCTTGGAACACGTCGACTTGTTGTCGGAGTGCTTCGGAAAAGGCACGTCAGGGAAGGTTGTTTGGCATCAACGGGCTTGTATGGCCAATGGTTTGTGGCCTGCTCCCCAGACTGCAAGAATAGTAGAGCCTATTAACACGATGTTGTGCAGGCCCCCATTCAGAACTAACAGGTAAGTTAGGTTGGATCCAATGCATCAACATGTATGACATGTATCAATTTTTCCAGTGGCGGCAGGATCTGGAGGTCTGTGTGCATGTTTGCGGATGCAAATCACCCTCGATCGTCCGCATCCGGAACTACACTTGACAGAAATCCACGCGTGCCGCAAATTTTCTTTAAGAGGATTCCCATGTTCCAATCATTCTGATACCTTAGCCACACAGTCAAGGTGATATCTCCGGGGTGGATGATGCCCAGCAAGAAGTCAGGAGGACCCAGCGTGGGGGGTCTCCTAATTGTGTGGTTCACCTTCCACGCCAAAAGCCCAGCAGGTGAAGGCCGATGTGCTCAGTCAGAATCGAAAAAAACTTTCCGCTCAGGTGCTGCTTTCCTTGCTCCTGAGCCCACTGTTGGCGCTCGTCTTGAGCTTCGCTGTGTGGGTACCTTGGAAGGAGCACAGACGACGCAAAGGAGGAGGAGTCCCAAAGCCTTTACGAACGCAGAGACTCACTGAGGCCAGATTCATCAGGCCAAAAGGATAGGAGATGGAGATCATTTTCATAGATGTGTTCTCAACACAACGCACAGGGCTCATGAACTATTGAAGTTCCTAAAGCAACATTCACAAAGACTTCTGATGTCATGGAAGTCCCTGACATCAGAAGATTCAAGTCTTTTGTACCATTAGAAGTACCTGGAAGTACCTGGAAGTACACTTTTCAAGGTGTGGGCAAGTCGTGGAAACTCCGAGTCGTGTGGCTCGAGTCGCGGACGATCCGAGTCGGCGTCGAAGGTTCACCGATCTTCGAGTCGATAGGGGTGAAAAACGCATGGCAGCTGCCAGGTGGATGGGGAATTGGATTGGGCTGTCAATTGCATTGGGCTTTAAAAACATGGTTTTGACCAGTTAAGTTCTATCAGCTGAAATAAGAAATCAGAAGTTCTTGCTCGTTCGTCCTTGGATTCTTTCTTGGAAAAGGACACAAATTCACCAACTGGTAAACGGTCAATTCAAGAAAGAACATTCCCAGAGACTCCTGCAACATCCTGTAACCCTTTTCAACCACCCAAACTGGTCCGTAGATATGCCAGTAGAGTTTCATCCGTTGGAACTGGCACCCTTTCAACCCCTCTCCCCCTGGTGCCTCGCGTGCTTCTTCTCACGTTCCCTTCGAAAACCACCGCTTGATCTGAGACCGGCCGCGACCCAGGATCCCCTCTTTGTGGTGGAAGGCCGCGTCAATCGCCGAGTCGATCCTAGGTTCCGAGTTGATCGACGGTAGACATTGAGACTGGCTGAGCTGCCGGTCTCACAGGCTGGGGCACAGCTAGTCTCACAGGCAGAGATGTAACAAACAGCACATAAACACCAAAGGGACGGCATGTTCATGAGCGGTGAAGAACATTGGCATTTGGTCAGAGAATGTCAGTATAGTTCGATATTGTTTTGCAACTTTTCTTGGTCAGAGAGCTTGTTTGCGGTCCCTGATTCTACGTAGTTCGTCTGTGCTGGCGACCGCTTCTTCCAGAGTTTCGTTCCCAATTTTGGCAGAGGAACCTGCCGTGCTGACCGGGGAGCTACGGGTTCCAATCCTGTGAACTCTTGTGGAGAGAAATGGCCTCCGTAAAGCTGCTAAAGCATGCCAAACAGACCAGGCAACCGGGGAGGTGTATGCCTTTTTGGAGGAGATGGGTGCCCAGATCCACTCACTGGATGGGACTCAAAACCAGTCCAGTGCAGCTGCTGGTAGCACACCAGAGTCGATTTCACTGGGAATGGAATTGCGATGAATGGGGCAGAATATTTTTTTCTCTAGTTGGGTGCTTCTGCCTCTAGCACTTTGGTGGTGATGCGATGGAAGTGTGGAACATTGTGGAACATGTCTATTCTTAGTCTTGGTTCTTGTCATCTAAGAAGACTGGTCCATATCAAGAGGTAGTTTCACGGTGTGGCTTGTTTCTTTCAAAAGAACTTCACTGGCAGACCATCCACTTCTCTCTTTGGTCTTGTTCTTCGTCTACCTGTTCGTGGCACTGGGCACCTTCTGCCTGCCTTCTTTCAGCTCCACAGGCTGGCCTGGCCGGGGCGTTGGTGCCATCTTTGGGTGTTTTTGTCGTTTTGGCCCAACATCTTCATACTCGTAGCATCAGTGTTTATAGATCAGTTTTCAAGCAACTTACTCCAATCACAGGTGAACAAAGCGGGGGGGGGCAGACTCAGGCAGACACAAGTACGCCATGACACAAGTTCAGGCAGACTCGTTGGACACGTGTTTAAAGCTCAAAGGATCGCAGAAAACCTCTTAGCATATCTGAGGGTAACAGTATCTATCTATATAACTATATGTGTATATATATACAACTTATATCAATCTATAGACTATAGAGATGCCGCCAACAGGTAAAAGCATCATTCAATATCATTCAGCTCTCGGTCCTGTCTTGGTCGGAGGATTGCCTTGTGCGGCCAAAAGGCTTTAATGTGTTTTTTCTTTTTTGCGACCGCCGTCCAGGGTGTCGCCGCATCGTGAGGGTGAAAAATTCATCTCGGTTGGAGACTTGGAGTGGTGACTGTGTTGTCCAAGGTGTCTCAGAATATGAGTCTATGAGATCTTTATGTCAGGCAGACAACCGATGCGGCCCCGATGCTTAAGCCCGAACTGGCCCCCTTGAACAACCTGGGTTTGTTTCAACATCTATTTTAACACGTTTTAACTACTGTATATTATATGTATATCCACCCAATCGCCCTCTTGTTGGCTCTCAATCAACCATGTGAGGGTGCCAACTGTTGGGCTGTTTTCGACGACGCGGGAGAAGGACGCTTTCTCAACTCAAAGACTGTGGTGACAAATTCTCGCTCTCAGATCACCGTGGTGACTTGCTTTGGATGCGAAATGAATGTTCGCTATCCCGTGCATGTTTTGAGCTTTGGTATACTCATCTTAGACATCTTAGACACCCTTTCGCAGATCAGATACCAAAAGCACAGGCTACCCGTCGCAAGAAGGGTGGGAATGTTCGTTGGCTGTGTTCGCTATCATCTTCATGTGCCCTTGGCGCCTTCGTCCAAAGTGATGTGGACGACGTCGTCCACCAGGTCCGTGGTGGCCACGGAGCAAGTCGGCGCGTGGCAAAGAAGAGCCCAGCAGCACCCTCGTGCATGAGGTGGGGTGGAGGGGACATCGGTCGGTGGAATCAAACAGTTTTGCTTTGAAAGGGGTGCTGTGTTGAAAGACATCCAGATACAGAAATACAACTGCAAAATCTTGGATGGACCACGACAACAAACCTGCCAAAAGTGATTTTTGTGCGAGTAAGCTCCAATGCACCTAGTGGTTTTGAAGTTCCAAAAGGGAAATGGCATCAACCCTTAGAGATGGCTTACCGAGACTTCCCTGAAGTTGTTATGGTACACCAGGGAATTGCTTGTGTTTTGTATCCACTTGTCAAGACCACGAAGACCACGAAGATCAACAATCTCTTGAGACATACACGAAGCGGCACAGCAGTGATAGATTTCGAGTTTATGGGACAACACCTGGGAACACATGTTAAGTGACACGAACCGTACGTGCAGATGGGCAAGACGGCCATTTCATTTGACAAAGGCTTCAACATGTTATACAGCATAGTTCTGCAAGGGCGGACTCACCTCAGTGGTTGATAGAGTGCCTAACCCTTCAAAAACTGACCGGCTTGTGGGTGATGTTCTCGGACCACTCATGGAATCCGGACCACTTGCAGCGAACAGAGAGTTTGTGAAACTAGACTAACAGGCTTTGGGTTCTGTACAAGACAAGACCTTTCGTTCCACATGGGTGACAATGCGATCTGTATGTTGCTGTATGTTGCTTTGAGCCAGGATCGTTGTCCTCATATTTCGATCAATGATATCAGTTAGTTGAATGATCAGTTAAGGGTTGTAGTGATGTAGTACAGAGCAGAAACCAACGTCTTGTAGCCAAACGGACAAAATAATCTAATGGCAAAAGACGTTTGTTCTTCCAGTGAGCTTGGTAGGAATGTGTTTCGGGTGCCAGGCAAGGGCCAGGCAAAACGTCCAAATAAAGTCCTTTCTCCTGTCAAAACCAGCTCACAGCCATCCTTACCAAAGCCACTCCATGTAATTATATGGAACAGTTACCTACATTGTAGTGTCAATGGATGTTTTCTGCCGCAGAGAGGTTCCCAACATGTCGATCTTGGAGGAAGAGGATGAGTACGTCTCAGAGTATTTTTGATGACATATTCAATCATATCTTCTTTGTTTTGACGACGTGTTTTCTATTCAGCTGTGTGATTCTGCCGTCTTGGGGGCGCTGGAGGAGTTCTGCTTATTGTCATGGGGCGGCAGCTAAAAGAACTCGGACTTTCAGTGTCGATCTCCAAACCCACCTGAAAAAACCTGCCAAAAGCAATCTTCACTTACAGATGGTAGTTCATGGTTTTTCAAACCTTGACTTCTGTTTGACTATAGGTTTCTGTTTGACTAGGTTTCATGATGTTTCTTGACGTAGGGAAGGTGGTTCTGGAGGTCGTTCTGGAGGTTCTGGAGGTAGTGGCCGGTTTCGAAGCAACAGACCACCACAGATCCCGAACACGGGTCCTTGGGAGGAGACATGAGGCGACTCAGTAGATGTGAAGGCGGAGAAGAGGGGCAGGTTCTCGAGGTGTGTATTTTCATACCGGTGGCTATTGTGGTCATCGTTTAAATCCACACAATGAGCTTTTGCTCTAGCCAACTCTAGCTACAAGAACGGCCACCAATCACCATCGCCGGTTTCTGGCTCCTTGTTCAGACAGCTGCTGCTGAGTCCAACTCTCCCGGCTCTGGATCCGACGTTTGGGTGAGTCCAGGCGAGTCCATGTTTTAAGCTCACCGGTTTTTCCGGTGCAGTCTGAAGAGGCCCGGTCTTGCCTAGTCGCGACGGTGTGTCTGTGACGTGCTTTGTGCCTAGAGGCCTATAAAGGAAGATCATGAAGATCCAGTTGCCGAACCTCCTCCAACAAGGTTGCATTGACCACGCCGGATGGATATGGAGATCATATCGACATTGCTAAGTGGGTCCACACGGGGTCAGCACGTCTGCCCCCGAAATAATTCTGGACCTGACCCTCTGTTGGGTCCAGAGGCATCCAGTTAGGACACACTATGTGGCCTCTAGATTGACCATATTTGACCCACCAAACTAGAAGAGGAAAAACATGGGAGAATACCTGGACCCTCCTGTCGGGGTGTCCAATGGACTACCCCACACTACCTATAGGCTTCCAGAGAGGGCACCCCGACAGGAGGGTCCTGGTATAATGAATAGATTTGACCTCCAACATCAGCAAACTCGGAACGCTTGGACGACTGTGAAGTATTCGTTTTTGGCGTCAGAGAGCAGACTGGCCGCCCTGGCCGCTGAGGACAACTCAGGGAGAGTGGCCGCTCACACACCGCTCACACACCTTTCCTCTGTGAGTCGACTCACGCGAAGCTCGTGATGTTTCCTCCACTTTCCGATGGCTTCCTGAAAGGAAGGCCATGGCTCGATGGGGAGAGCAAAATCGATTTTCTTGCCCTTTCAAACGACCCTCGGCCCGCAGTACCCCCTGCAGTACCGTCTGGACCCCACACACACACACACACACACACCGACTGAGTCTCGGGAGTCACTACACATTCTCCAACTGAGCTCACGATGATTTGGTGCTTCAACTTGGTCAAAAGTGAACATGTCCTCCATGGAGGACGTGTAATTAGAGTATTAGAGAACGAACGACTTGCTGACTTGAAAGGAGCCTACTATGCACCTTTGAGAGAAGGCTATAACTATAATTGTATGTCCTATACGTTTGTTATATTTTTGGGGGGGGGGCTGTTTTCTTGGCTCAAATCAGTGTGTATATTGTATATGGACCCACGGCGGGCCCACTTGGGTGCCCGCCCACGAGAGAGCGAAGAAGAGGAGCGAAGGCAACGACTCGAGCTCCAAAACCACGGGAAGGTCTTGAAAATCGAAGAAAAGACATGAGGATCACCCGGCAAGCTGGCGAAGAACAAGGACATCATAGGTCAATCCATCGTCCCTGTAACCCACATCATCCACGAAGGTTTCTTCTCTTCACCTTGCTTTCCAATCGTTCTGATAGTGAATCTGATTGTGAAGGGCTCTTCAAAACAAGTCGCCAGGCCTTTCTAGCCCAAAACTCGCACGCTTTGCGCCCTTTCTTGCTCGCCTATGATCTGAAAATACGAGCATTGCCATGGGCCATGAATCCAACATCGAGGTGGCTGAGCAATCACATCCTGTGGGGATTGAGTCCATGGAGATTCCCCTGGAGTCTCGATTCTGCAACGCGTTCAAGCGCGTTCCGCATACGCGCAGCGCGTTCCGGTGCCCTCAAATGCGGTGCTGTGTTATCAATTAAGACCCTCAAGATGTTGTCCAGTGCAAACGCTTCTAAGAAAGCCTCTCAAAAGGGGTCTCTCGAAACGACATTTCGTCAGGGCATGCCAGAGAAATCTTTGGAGATTGGATGATCTCCAAAAGCATTCATAAGATATTTGGTGCAAGGTCCTACAAACGAAAAGATTCGATTCTGCACATTTTTGCACTTGGTGATTCCTGAGTCCTTTTTGGTTGAACTCTTGTGATTCTCTTGTGTGGCTCCAACAGCGGACCGAGCTGCAGCTTCATTGTCCACAAAAATGTTCGTGCAGCCCTTTCAAAGCACGGGGTCGATGCAGAGAAGTGCTTTGCGTTGACACAGACGAACCATCGGGTGTTTATTTCTACTCTTTGACATGTTCAATTTGTTTCAGGCGATGGTGATGTCAGCCTTGACCCGGTCGAACTCGGATGAGCGCGCGTTGCCCACGTCGCGTTGTTCGTGATCGGCGTGATCGTCGTGTCCACTGAGGACCCAGAGTTGGTGCGAGGGGTTCCCCTGCGCTTTTGCCTTCATGGGCTGGGGAAGTACTGGAGCATGACTCGAAAAGCAGACTTCGATCTCAGTGACTTGGATTGTGGGGTCGATCTTGCATGGGCATGTGGGAATGAAGGGGTCATCGGACAACTGCAGGAGATAGTGTTCCGAGAAATTGGACTTCGCTGCAACCATTCAAAAGATGTGCTTCTTCCTTTTTCTTTGATCAGATCAGATTCTTGTTGAGATTTTCTCGGTTGGGTAGACGTTGTTCTGGATCACGTCGTGGTCCGATGTGACCGACTGCAGAAGACTGAGTAGACCTGATGACGCTTCCGAACCAACCATTTCAGCAACCACTAAGAACTAAGAACTGCTGTGTGTTCCATCGCAATCAGCAGAAACACCAGCCTCTAACGAGTGCAGGTATAGGATGGATGGTAAGTAGGATGGTATGTAAAGTAAAGGGATGTAAAGGGTATACATCTAGTGGCCATAGTATAGTAAGATAGGCTGGTAGGATTTTGCAGTATCCCTCGGTATAGATCGCCCCGTTTAGTTTCCAGCGCGGCGTTTGCTCGTCCGTCAGGCGAAAAGACGGATCACATCGACCACTTCTTGAGCCTCCCGGGCGAGAAACCACCGGAACCGAAGCAATCGCTGGTCGATGTCCATCAACGGTATACATGTCTGAAAAATGAGTCCGATATGAGTGGAGTGTTGTGATGTGATGGCTGGTTCTGAGTGGTTCCATGCTGCAGTCAGAACCTAGGGTATTCTGCTGGATAAATTTCGGAAGAGGAAGTTGAAACTGCTGTAGCTCAACGTAAACGAGTCTAAACTATTTCAAATTCATCCTGTGGCGTCTAGGTATGGATTGCACACCTAGTTGGAACCCACCTCCGTGACCTCAAAGATCAAGATGGCTTTCCAGAACGAAGCGCCCTGGTTCTAGTTACAAGTGCGCAAGGGGCGATTTAATTTGTCTTCCCTTTTTGATTTCACAAAAGACACCAATAACCTCCAATAACTAAGTCCTTTCCTTTTTCTCTCATCCTGATCCCTCAACAGCCAAAGAACACGGACCCAGAACTCTAGAATTGCTCCAGACCCATCACGAATCAGCTCGACCCACCGGTCTCACCATTGGCAGACCGCGACACTCGCGCGACAGACACACCGCCCAAGGCGACACAAGGCTCGCCCAACCGGACCTCGACCCAGGTCATGATTGGGGCACCTCACGAAGTCTGAAGGTGATGACCTTATTGATCGTCTTCAATAGCTGTGCAGCTGCAGTCGCCACCTCCCTGGTGACCTGGTGATCACCAGGTTAGTGAACCTATAGTGACCTCCGGCCCGGGGGGGGTGGATGTGTCTGAATATATCACCGGTAGTATTAGTCCCGGTGACCTGCGGGGGGGTTGATGTATTTGTTTTCTTGCCAAACTGGGTGAGTCCCCCGTCCAGGGGGAACAGTTAGTAGATGTTATAGATGATGTTAGCTACATATCTAATAACATCTACATATCTACTATGTAGATCTTAGTAGATGTTAGATGTTTTTACATGATGTTAGATCTGATGTTAGTAGATGTTAGCTGATGTTAGTTGATTGATGATTCCACGGTTGGGAGCCGCAGATTTGCGGACATTCGCAAAATGGCCTTTTTTCCTCCGAAGAAAGCAAACAAGCGCGGCTCGATGGCTGGTGGCCTCAGGGGTTTGGAAGCAACAGCAAAGAAGGGAGGCGAAGGCGAAGGGAGAGCCAGAGCAAAGCGAAGGGAGAGCAACGATGATTTGAAGGATTTTATATAACCTTGAATTTCATTCAGGCATCGATTCCATGTTTACTGCGATCTGCTGAAGGATATTGAAGGAGATCATATATATATATATATATAATTTGTCCTCCACCAAGGGCATGTTCAGGACTTGAAAGGGTCGATGTGTGTTTCTTTGTGCTTCCAAATGAATATCTTTGGTCGAACCATTCGGTTGACCCATTCCATGCATGCGTCGAACAAACTGGGGAGGGAACTCCAACCACTTCTGTTTGGTGCCCCAAGCTATCCCAGGTGGTGCTGCTGCTCTCCATCACCGCCTCAACTGGCCTCATTCCGCCAAAGCTGTGGCCTTGGCTGCCACTGCCGGGCTTCCTTTGCTATGTGAGCATCCTCCTTTTTTGGATCCCCGGCTGTGCTTGTTCGAACGGTGGAGGACGACACGAAGTCGTGACTGTCGACGCACCACACACCGTCCGACACCGTCCCAGTAGTGGACCTTCAAGGGGTGGACCTTCATGGAGGTCCCTTAGTAGTGGGCTGGGGCGAAACCAGCCAGGTGACCCCGACATGAAGGTGCTGGTATACTTATATAGGTGGTGTGGATGTGGACTTGGTTCCCAAGGTGGACCCGCATTCTGGGGTGAAACCCCTCATTGCCGCTACAGACCTTGGCAACACCACTGGCAACACCACAGGTGGTCGAGGTAGTGGGCTGCCGAAAGAAGAGGCCGACATGGCGGGCCGAAGTGGCTCACAAAGGATCAAGTTACTCCCAAAGGATCAAAGGATCAAGAAGATTGAAGAGAGTCTTTGCTCCTGGACCATCAACTTGAGACGTCTTGATGTTCATCCACAGTTTTGGTGCCGTTTTTCCACCCAGCTGAACCAGCGCGTTTTTACCGCTTCGCAGATTCTCTCCAAGGCAGGATGTGCGTTTGCTGTGCCGTCGGCCGCTGTTGGCCTTCCTGGATAAGCTTTGTATTGCACAGCATGATTTGCACTTGAAGGACGACGAGATCTCGAAATATCAAGCACCATGCAGAGATGTTGATCAGCTTCGGATCCACAAAGTAGTGGTTTATGCACTTGGTTTTGTTTTTTTGTTGCTATCAGGTTCTAATTCACTGAGGCGGACCCGGTAGAAACTAGCACTTAGAATACGATGCAGTTATGGCGGAGCCGTTGACATAGCACCGTTAGCTTGGAGGCATTTGGAGGCCATCGCTAGTAGGTTGCAGGCCATTGCTAGTTGGTTGCAGGCCATGGCTACTGTATTAGGTTGAAGGCCATTGCCATTGGGTTGGGGGCCATCGCTAGTAGGTTGGAGCCATCGCTATTAGATCGGAGGCCTTTAGGTTGGAGGCCATGGCTATTAGGTTGGAAGCCATCGCTAGTAGGTTGCAGTCCATTGCTATTCGGTTGGAGGTGATGGCTAGTCTCTTGCTCTCGCTTTGCCTGTCTCTTCTATATTCTAAGTGCATTGGCGTAAATTCTTAGTGCATCGAAGCTCCGAATTTCTTTTTCATATGTTGACTACATTCCTTATTCCTCATGTTGAATTCTAACTGGCTGTCCGGGATAGTATATAATTTAAGATTATATATTTATATGGAAACGAGACAAGGGTACAATGCGGTAGGCCAGCTTGGCAAGGGAGGCTTTGTCGAGAAAAGGAAGACCACCCATTCTACCTATTTGCGAACTGGGGGCCTAACGCCTGTCACCTAAACTCATTGCAGGCATAGCTAAATCCGCCGAACCACGAAGGCATCGGGGCACTCGCGCATTGCATTCAGCTGCTGATCCGTTTTGACCGATCCGTTGAAACTCGTGGCACTCTCCGTTCCGTTTTCCATTTAAAGAAAGAAAGAAAGAAAGAAAGAACACACAGCGGATGTCCCCTCGCGCCCCGAGACAAAACATTTGGGACGCGCCTATCTAAGTCTAGTAGATGGCAGGCATATGCCGGCGCCCCGCCATTGCCGCGCCAGGAGCAAGGCATCCGCGGCTTGGGGAGCTTTCTCAGATGCTCCAGGAATCTCAACATCTTGTGGTCTGAGAGGTGGGATCGCTCTCATCCCATCGGGCGCGGGGCGTTGGGGAACGAAGCCGTGAGTTGCGCCGCCGCCTTCAAGGCGGAAAAGGATGAAACATGAGGTCACACCTCGGGGGGGCCGAGGGGGGTTTTCCAGTGTGTGTGTTGGAGTGTTTTGTATCGGTATTTGCATGTAGTACCTGGTGGTGTTGGTGTTCATGCCGCTGTCAAGTCTACACTAGTATAGAAGCTGCGCTATAAGTACCACCAAAACGCATCAAAACGCTTTGTGGTCTCCTAGCCACATTGGCCACACGTCCCGTTCTTTAGGACAGAATGACCTCGAACCCCCGCTTCAACACAGCCGAAGTCTGCGGAGGTATTTCTCCCGCTTGTGGTGCTGCTATGAAGTCGCGGCCTACTTGAAAGAAGGCTGTGAGTGCTGGCTGGGCTCTGGAGTCAGATTCCTTGACTCGAAAGAGCTTGGTGTTGAAATCGATTTGCTACAGCAACCTGACTTGGAGACCCAAACCCCGGGTTTGTACATCACCAAAGTCTTCCGTTTGGCTCCATTTTTCAGGTCCGCTTTGCTTGTACAATCTTGTACAAACAAGTTTGTTCGTCCACACTCTTCCAACATGAATCACTTGGATGGGTTGTTTGGTATTTTAGCTATGTATTTAATTGACCAAACAGCATGCCCGGTGTATTTGTTTGCTTTGACGACTCTCCCCGGCCTGTTCTCGTCCAGGTGGTTTTCGTGATGGAGAAAAGTCCATCGTGCTGATCCCCGTGCAGATGGCCTCCCTTTTGCTGATCAGTACGATCCAGTCGTGCAGTACGTTTCTGGTTCAATACGTCACTCCGGCTGAGACATGTCCTGTTGACGTTGAAGAGGATGAAACAGGATGAAACAGATGGATTTTGTGAGCTTTTCGCTCAAGGTGGGCTTATAAGGCTTGTGAGGGCATTCTCTTGGGAGTCGTACAATGAGCCCCCCAGGAAAGGATGCCCAGGAGAGAAAGACGGGGAAAGACTTCAACCATATGCCTTGCACATCCTTAAGCCCTTCATTGAGGGGTTCCAAAGTCAATTCTTCCTTAAGGGCGGACAGCTTTCCTCATCGGGCTCACCTCCAACCCAGTTCATGGGCCTTTTCTCCGCAACACCCCAGCAGAGTTGGCCAAAATAGGATCAACTCCAGTACCCTACAACCATTGGTCCAGGGCTTTCCAGGAAGGACACCGGATGGAGATCGACAACATCAAACTAAAACATCAGTCGACTAACATCGCCAAACATTGCTTGAAGATAGGGTGAAACCATGTGAAACCCTCTTCACACGTGGACAAATTTCGATGGGTCAACCACTAGCCTGAGACTTCTCCGCCCGAAGAAAAAGCCGTTCGGTTCCGCTGCCATGCTGCGAAGTCGAAACGCTTTTT